ATTATTCATTGCCACATTTAGCCGTGCAGCAGTAATTGCAGCATGCAGCCAGAGCGCCTGCATCCGATGAGGCAAAATGAATGAATAAATCTAGATTTTGGAACCATTTGAACGTTTGACATTTACTGATGAGGCAATTAAGGGAGCAACACACAAACACACACCTTGCATTGCATCAGGGTCAAGCAACAAAGCAATACCTCTATAGCTGTTATGCAGGTTCTCTGCTATGCTGAAAGCAGATAAGGCATCAAAGCAATGGGTGTTTGTTTTTCTGCAAAAATTCAGCAGGACTATATGCTTTTACCCTTGTGTTTTTTTCCGTAGCCATAATTGATACAGCGCAAAAAAACACAGTCAAAAACAGATCCAGCAAAAACACATCAAAAGGGAGCCGAATGCCACCTAAATGAGGTCAAAGTATTTATCCTAAAGAGAGATTGTACTGGGGTGCCCTCCACACTATAGGCACCCCTGAAACAGATGTGGAAAAAAAAACATAACACAAACTACTTATTGCAGTAAGTATGATCTCAAAGTGCAAGATTTTTTTTAAAAATGCATTGTCTAATTGAAAAACAAATGACAGCATACATCACCTGCTGATGTGATCTTAGAGGTCCTATTCAAAGAAAAATGTTTTTACACCAATCTTATTGGTACTTCAGCTGTCAATACTTTCTGCAACTCCCTTAATGTTTTCACTTAATCTTTTCCTGTGGCATTTCACTCTGATGCCTTTCTGTATTAATTCATCTGTATGTCTGCTTGCCATAATATATAACAACGGCACAATAAAATACCCAAAATTCTGTTTTCAGTTTTGAATATAATTTGTCACTATCTAACCATGCATTTGAAATACTTCTAGGAACGACACTGCACAGGTTTCCTATTGGATTTACTAAGTCTGGGGACTGAGAAGGCAATTGAAGAAGATTGATTTTGCTTCTGCTGAACTCCGTGTGTTAACATAAATGTCAGTAAACTAGATCGAATTGATTTGAATAGAGAGAAGGTTTTGAAGTGAGGTTCTGTAAAGCTATGACCCTTTAGAGCAGGGGTGTCAAACTCCAGTCCTAAAGGGCCGCTGTCCTGCAGTGTTTAGATGTGCCACAGGTAAAAAACAGTGGAATGAAATGGCTTAATTACCTCCTCCCTGTGTAGATCGGTTCTCCTGAGCTCTGCTAATGACCTAATTATTCTTTTCAGGTGTGGTGCAGCAGAGGCACATCTAAAAGTTGCAGGACAGCGGCCCTTGAGGACTGGAGTTTGACATCCCTGCTTTAGAGTTTCCTTATCTGTCGTAGAAATATGTCACGTTGCTGTAATTTTGCAGAAATTAACACTGATCCTCATAGTAGTGAAAGGATGGCAACTAGTCTTATGGTTGCAAAAATAGTAAATGCTTGAGATTTTATTTTATTTAAACAGGTTGGTCCCATGAGATGAGATATCTATTATTCAAGAGAGACCTGACCAAGAAAGAAGCAGCATTAACATGATGCTTGACATGATGCTCTGCCCTCATGCGGAAACAGGATAAACCTCCTGCTATGGCAGAGATAGTGAAAGTCAATGTGTTGTGTGTACATGTATTTATGCAGACAGACAGATACCTATCTATCTATGTCCATACCAGTAGGTGGCGGTAATGCTAAATAATGTCAACAAGAAGAAGAAGACAAACTCAATGCGTCACCCAAGACATTTTTTGAGTATTTTTTGCCTCATCAGCCAACACTCAGGCAAAGACGAAAAGGAAAAAAAAATTCCAACTTTGGTCCATTTGTACATGTTTGTTTATTTGTCACGTTTGGATTTCTAATACAGAACTAATGAGTAACATCTTTTTTTATTTTATTTTAGCAGAACGTACATCCAGATCTGCTCACTGAAACTAACAGTCGTCCGTTTGACTTTTGGATTATTATTATTAAATGAATGTCAAATTGCTTAAAACGTGACGGCTGCTTCAGATCTTCAGTGATCTTCTTTGATCAATCTCTTGCTATTCCAAACTCTGTTTGGGTTTGTGAAATATAATAAATTGCCAATAAATCCCCATTGTAAATACAGTATAGTGGAAAAAATTAGTACAAAGAGGACTCTTATTGCTTTATTATTCTGATGTCATCTTTATTTAATGCTTATGAACTTTCACAGAATGATCTTGTCAGAGTTAACACACTGAAGGTGGTCCCAGAAATGTTGTTTTTTGTTCAACACCTGCAAGGAAGCCAGTCTGCCTCCCATTGTCTTATGTTCTCTCCTTGGATACAACAGACATGTTTGGGACTCTAAGTCAGAGCTTTCTCTCTGTCAGAGTTTTTCACTTGTTCAAGAGTGGAATTTTCTCTCTTATGCACAGGATTATTAATAAATCTGTCCGAGTGATTTTCATGTAACCATAATAATTTTTAACTGTGTTACAAATCTGACAACCTGGGGCAATCCAATGAGGACAAAAAATACTGAAATGTACTGAAATGTTGCTTTTGACCCTGCACGGAAACCAAGTAGCTTGAGTCAGAAATGATTTTTGGAGTCGTGTCATCTTCCGGTGTTGGTTCATTCATGAGCCTGCAGGCTGCATGGATTTAGTAATTTATTTTAAGAAGCACTATCAGTATGTTGTAAAAATCTTGGGATTTTTCTACACAAATAAGTCTTGCTTTTCCTTTTGCATGGAAAAGAAATTGGTGGAAACAACCTTTTTGCCTATAATGGGCTGTGGTGATGTATTGCACTTTATCCTTTTAGCTTCTTGCCTTGCTGGCATCTCTATACTGCCCCAAGGTCTCGTTGCTGGTTCTATGGGTTCTCCAGATAGTCCCTTAAAAGCATTGTAAAAGCAAGTCTTGGAGTCTCTTAGATAGAAAACAAAACTTTAACATTGAATTTTCTTGCATGCTAAAGGCACAGCTCTGTGGGAAAGGTGTAGCGCTTTGTTTGTTCAACAGTCTGTTTGCTCTACAGACAAGAGAGAAGAGTTTTCATCTGACATTTGACAATTAAGTTAGGACAATATTTGCCAAAGCGAATGGTTATTAGCAGGACAAACCTCCTGGAAAAAAAGTCTCACAGCACGATATTGTGTAATGAGGCACAACTCTCAGTTCATTATAATATCATCAAACATTTAATTAATTGCAGTAATTCAATTCAAAAAGGGAAACTACTATAGATCAATCACACAAAGTGATATTGTTCAACCGTTTATTTCTGTATATTTTTACATTTTTGACGTAAAGCTAATGAAAACCCAAAATATACTTTGTCCAAACATCTGAGTGCTAGATATAACCAATAACAGGAACTTTGACCACCTAGTCATGGGGAAGACAGCTGACTTGGCATTTGGCTGGTAGAAAGTCATTTATGCAGAGAGTAAGACACAAAATGTATTTGCTAAAAACATTTTAACAGGAAGTGAAATGGAGGGGAAATGTGTAGAAGTAAATAGTACAAAAACAGCATAGTTAAAAGTTGATTCAAAAGCTTGGGGGGGGGGGGTTAACAAAACGTGAAACGTGGCTGCAGTCAGTGCTTTGTTAATCACCACACAGATTAATGTCAAACATGGGCTACGATTGTAACATTGTATTTCAATTTGAGAATCACAGGCAGCATCAGGGCCTCTTATCTCGACTGAGGACATGTTGCTGTTGACTCTGCGCAATCACCACACAGATTAATGTCAAACATGGGCTACGATTGTAACATTGTATTTCAATTTGAGAATCACAGGCAGCATCAGGGCCTCTTATCTCGACTGAGGACATGTTGCTGTTGACTCTGCGCAATCACCACACAGATTAATGTCAAACATGGGCTACGATTGTAACATTGTATTTCAATTTGAGAATCACAGGCAGCATCAGGGTCTCTTATCTCAACTGAGGACATGTTGCTGTTGACCCTGCGCAGACTCCAAGTAGGTTGAGGTTTTCATAGTCAGTAATGATTTTGGGAGTCACGTCATCTTCCGGTATTAGTTCAAGGTCTTGTCCAGAGGCAGGGCAGCGGAAATCTTGAGGCACTTCATGCTTCCCCTCTGCTGACGAGCTTTGTAGAAACGCTGATTTCATTTTCCAGCAGGACCTGGCGCTTGCCCACACTGTAAAAGTATCTGCTTTAATTGATCATTGTATCACTGTGCTTAACTGAACAAACTGCTCTGACCAAAGCCCCAAAGGAGACCGACTGTCTATTGACAAGACGAAGATGAGAGACACCATTATGCATGTGAGCAGCAAGCAGCTATGAGAACAACCTCGGCTTCCTAAACACCTCGGCTGAGACACACACTGATATCCTCAATGCTCATTGTTCAGTAATTCATATTAAATAAATTTTACAGAAATACTTATGATGCATACTTCACAATACAAGGACATGCTGTCAAATAGACCCAACAAGTGAAATCAGTAGTTTATAAAGCTTCAGCTTGCTTGTGCAACTTTGACTGTACCACTTTTTTCTTCCACCTAACTTTCATTGCCGTTGCTTGGATTTCAGTCATGACGCTTTGTTGCCTTGTGGTTGGCGATGTTAAATGTTTGCCTTCCCATGGAAGTGTACACAGCATGATATAATACAGACTATTCACATTTTCAGAACTGACTTTTGAGCTATAAGTGAAAATCATTAAAATGATTAACAGAAAATGATCACACGTAAAATTTAATCACGGAAATAAATAATGTCCCAGGATATTGAGGTCCAAATTAAATTTGCACAACAAATTATTTATGTTTTAATGTAACATATATATATATATATCAGCTTCCACCAATTTTTATTTATTTATTTATTTTTTTTGCATTTGCAGGCTGACAGATATTTTACTGACCGTCCTTTTTTTTTCCGTTTTCCTTCCTTCCTTTCCCTCCCGTTCAAGCCGTCTCGGTGCTTGGCAGGAAACAAAAATGTCTCTCTCTGACTCCGCCTCTTTAAGAAAAAATCGGATGTGGATGCGAGAGAGAGAAAAAGGGCAGCAACAATGTGACAGACAACACAGCCGCTCGGCTCAGAGTTGTAGTGGATATCGGCTCAGTGAACGGAGGGAGGGCAGAGGCGAGCCAAGCCGAGCCGCATGCTCGCTGTGCAACAAGGCGTACGGGAGCGGAATAATGAAGCGGCGGCCAGCAGCATCCAGACAGCAGCGAGGCGGCGTTTAGGTGAGGCTTTGTTCGCTCTCCTTTTGGTTTCCGTGCAGATTTGCATGCTTTCTTTCTTTTTTTTTTTTTTTCTTTGGTGCTCCGAAGCGCTTTGTTTCGCGACACGGAACAACATCCAGAGATGATGTGCATGCTCGATGTTCAGCTGGTAACAAATAAAACCCACCACTGGAGGCTTTTTGCCTCCCTTTACTTCACTGGATCTCCTTATTCAGAGCCAGAGCGGTTGATTTTAGCGCGTTTGGCTCATTGAGACAAACGGTTTAATCAAAGCAGGACAGTTCACTGTTTTCCAGTTAGTGGCTGCCGCTGCTCTGAACGACGACAATGAATCATTATGGGGTTTTTTCTGCTGGAGAAAGTGACTTCATTCATAGCCCATAGTGAAATCAGGCCTGCCTGAATACTTCTGTGGAACTTGAGGAGAAGCTGATTGTTGTCCCCTTGATGCAGCATGACGGACCCCAGTTGCAATGTTGTCAGAACTGTGCAACGACAAAAAAATAAAAAAAAATTGTGCAGTCTCATCTTATTTGTGTTCGTTCGGACTGTGAGCTGCATGGGCAGGTTGTTTACGCGCGTTTTCTTCCATTTCACTAGGAACAAAAACAGGGAAGTGGTTATTTACTTTGCTTAAAAAAACATTACACTGAAATGCCAGACTATTGTTGTGTTCTTGACTAAAATGAGAGAGGAGCATCAGTTTAAATCTTAATATTTTTTTTTCTAAAAAGGGACACCCTGCACTACTTCCACCTGTCCTATCAAAGTTGATCAGTGACATCACAGCCCCTTACATGGTGTAGCTGATTGTTTTCAACTTTAGACTCACAATATGATTTTAGAAAAGTGCAACAAAAAGCATTCTTACTTACTTACCCCATTGCCTAAACTCACCATGGATTTTAACATTTAATTCTATTTTATCTTACTGATTGTTGTTGATGTATACATTTGCCTTTTTGGAGAATCACCTATTGGCAGATTTTTCAGTGGAATGCAATTCCAAATTTTCTCATACAGCTTTTCTAAAATATTCCAATGGAAATGTGGTGTGGGAAACCAAAAATAATTATGAGCTGACATTTACAATGCAGCCAATCTAGGAGCGCCATTCGTTTTTCTTGGCTCTGGTTGGCTTTAACCCAAAGAGCAGCGATGGGGAAGACCGTAGATGTTAGTCGGCCTAGTAGAAAAAAAATTGTCACAATAACAAATTTTGCCAGATGCTAAATTGTCCCAGTATTTTGGTAATATTGTTCTATTGAGGCAATGTAATGATAATGGGATAATAATAGTTCATTCTCTCAAAGACTAATAAACTTTAATTTTAAAAGGAACACTTTAAACTTTTTAAATGTACAAAATAAAACACAACTGTCCAAAATAATAAACAAGATGGAAATAAAAACCATTTACGAACCATAAATGAAATGGATTATGATGTCTCTGCGAGCAAAATTGTCCTTCCAAAAAATAATCATCAGAATGAAAATTAGCGAGCTCATCTTAATTTATCACGCGATTAAATGCTTAATTGCTTATTGCGGCAAGCTTAGTTGCTAGCTGCTGTGATAGTGCCAGGGCGGTTTCTCCTGTGTGTATTAAAGTGTGTTGAGGTATATTTGGTGTTTGAACCATTAAAATGTGTAGCTGTAAGCGCGCAAAGACCTCTGTCCGATGTGTGGACCGGTCAACTCTTCACTTCTTGCCCATTGATTGTAAACACCAGCCACCTGTAACTCTGCTACCAGACAAAAAACATGAAAAAACTCACTGTATCGTTGTCAGCACTGTTGTCTAGTGCTGAGAAACAGACTTGTGAGACGATGTCTTCCTCTGTAATATTCACTATTGAAATGGATTAATTCTCATAATTACTGCTAATTTTCTGCATTATGGGGTAATTTCCTCAATTCTGTGGGTTGACATGTGAAATGTCTTTGTGTAACTGATTGTGGTCGGGACGCCTTCAGTTTAGAAACTCAGCCCAGGATCTTTTAGGAAACCCTGCTGATCAGAATGGGGCTGTTAGAATATGAAGTGCAAAACCATAAACTTCTTGCACTTCAAATCGATTTTTTATGCTTTTACACATTACTTTTGCATTAATCGATGGTCATATTCATGCCCCCCCTGACTTTCCATATTAAGGCGATCTGCACTGCAAATACTCATACGCACATCACCCAACTTCAAACATACCAAAATATCCATTTTACGCCTGGCATAGAACTATAATTATTCCTGGTGGCTGTCTGGGATCTGTTTGTCTCTGCAGCTGGATACTTATTGTCTGAAATGAGATGCTCTCCCTCTGTGTGTGCAAATCGAAGACAGCAGAGTACAGGTGTGCAGGAGAGCTGTTCTCTGGGTACACACCAACAACAATGGAGCTTTATCCTGCAGCGCCAAACTGCATTAAAGGAAACACCCTATTCTCATGTTTCTTTCTTTTTTTTTTTTTTTTCTTGGTGCATGCTCGTCTCTGTTTATTCACGATTAAAACAATCCCTTTAACTAATTTTTGGTCTTAGTTTCAGAGGTTTGTGTTGCGCACTGCGAGGAGAGAAGATTATTTTGCTTTGAGAGCGGCAGAAAAGAGAGACGTTTGACAACTTTCATGTGCGCAGTGTTTTAGAGTAGACGGCGAAAAAGAGAGTTTCGTCTAAGACTAACAGCTAAAAATATTCCTGTAAGCAGAACGGATGCCTTTTCTTCTTGTTTGAAAGGCTGGAGCAGAGCTCATCAAGGTTGTGTATTTTACAGAGTTTCCATAAATCAACAAGCTACACAAAGAACATTCCACATTTATCAGGCCCTGCTAAAAGCACTAAAATAAATTAGTCTTTAATCGCTAAGGTGTAATCTCACACTGAAAATATATTTGAAAAAAGTCTAAAAATCTGACCTTTGACGTTAAACAATTTGTGAAAAAAAAAAAAATCACAATTCGTTTTAAAATGACTAACTGGAGTTTTTGTTTTTGTATTTTGTAGTTTGTTATTCAAAGTGTCTTGAAATCTTTTTATTTGGAAAATTGTTTTTAATTTTGTACAATTCCTTTCATTTTCACTCACTTATCTTATCTGCTCTTGCAAATGCGAGAGATAAGAGGAAAGGCGAATTAAGCAAGGAAGGTGCGTGTTGACCTTTTTATAAGTCAGAAAATGGCTGCAGCAAAACAGCTACAGCTTGCACATTACCGCAATCAGGGCAATAGCTAAAAAGTTTAACACAAAAACAACTGGACATGAGTCACCATACACTCCGAGGAGGTCAAAAAATCTCCTCAGTGTTTCATGTTAAATTATTTAAAATTATTAAAAAGGGAATTCATTTAAAGCATCTGAAACATTTTTATCAGAGCATCAATAAATGGTGGTGAAAATGTCAGCCTGAGCAGAAAGTTTTATCGCGTTGGATCCTTCATGAGTGCTTACTTCAGTTTCCCTGTTCACTCTTGACTGTAATTTTGAATGTACATAGACACGGACATGGATTTAAAGTTGTTTTCCAAAATCCCCGCATCTACGTCAAGTATTAATAAACTTGCGGCCGTGTGACTTGTGACAAATGCTGATACATCTGTCATTGGGTTAATCTTTGCAGGTTGAGATTTGTTGCTCCACCTGCTTCACAACAATAAGGAATCTAAAACCGGCAGCTGATGAAATGCATGATCCCTCTGAGTGATAATGACCCAGTAATAGGGCCACTCCTCTCATTAGCATCAGATGAGATGAACTGATTCATGCAGAAGAGTGAGTGAGGAAGAGGTTATTTTTTCTTTCTTTTCTGAAGTTAAATTTCTTCTGGGTTTGATGGTGTCCCCTCTCCAGACAATCCTCCCCCCGCCACAACCAGAACAAATCCAAGTTAGTAATTAGTTTACACCTACAAACTGCGAGGTGGACTTCTTGAAAACTGTAGAGAAAAATAGCAGTGGTAGAAATCAACAGTCAGTGTTGTACTTCTCCTGTGTCAGACACTGTGTATATTTTTCCACATTTGATTTTACTATATCATCAATAAATGCTGTATTCACATTTTAAAACTTGACTGAAAAAAAAATAAGTTTTTTGACCTCATCAGCAAATTTACCGTCTAAAGATTTCAGCCTTAATTTTTAAGATGATTTTAGCTGATTTTAAGGCAGCAGAACTGAGTCACCTGTGCTCTTTCACAAGCACCAAAATATCTACATTTAAGTCATCATTTTAAGCATTTGTGTAGGGACGTGCTATTATTTCCTCAGCAGAAAATACAACTGTTTAATCATAGTCTCTGAATTAGTTTTTTTTTTTGTTTTGTTTTATAGTACCGTCACGAGAGTGTGATATTTCTGCACAAGGTTATGATTCTGTCAGAATCTCATAAAGGCTTGTTCCTAGTGGGAATAAAGGGAATCTGAAAATGATTTTACTCCTGAAGGTTTTGTTGGCCTTTACAGCAGCAAGGCCACCATTTGTCAAAGCTTGATAAACTTTTCTTCACCGTATGCTCTCTGTTTTGCTCCTTTATTATTTTGTGACGAAAAGTTCCACGAGTGACTCCGTGTTATTATTATTCTTATCTTTATTTCTTTTTCTTTAAGAATAAATTCCATCAGACTTGAATAATAAGGACAGCATATTCTATATTACGACTACTGTGCTGGACAATCTGTTAATGTGGCACCAAGCCATTCATCCTGTTGTGTAAATACAACAAGGAATATTGCTCTTGCAGTTCCATAATGAAAAGCTCATTGTGACATCATGCCCACACATTCGGTAGCCATTAGATTAATCTAAATCGGTGCATGTCAGAGGGAAAAAGGCTTGTTTTTGAGCTTTTTGTCTGTTCAGCAGCAATAACACCATTCGTTTATTAAATTTCACACTCTGCGAGATCCTCCGGATTAAATTTGGGTCTTTGGTTTGTGTCAGTCTGAGATATTCTTAAATTGGTTTATGTAAAAATCAGTGTCAGAGAACCATCTTCTTCCATTCTGTAAT